TTTGGAGATGGTGTCTAGAGCTACTGACAGCCACTGCCTCACCTGAAGGGAAATGTGCCTGAGACTGGAGCCACAGGACGGCAGGGCAGTGAGGTGACTGCAGACTTGATCTTGGCCACATCATGCACCTCTGAGCCTCATACCAATCCTGGACTCTTCAGGCACATCTGTTTTTCTCACGTTGATGTGAACAGGTTTCTGCGATTCTCCATACAAAGAATCTTGAAGGATATGTCCACAATGGGATACTATACACTAGCCCACTCTTCCAGTCTCACCCAATGTGCACATTGCTTTGGTGTAGATGAGAAAAGTCATAAGTGCTTGTGCAGACTTCAGCACAGGAATCCTCCCACTAGACTGACACTAGATCTGATGGTTGCCACACTAGCCGGTAAACACTGACATGTATGGAGGCTGGTTTGTGTCCTGTGTCCTGGCTACTCCGTTTCTTATTCATCTCTCTGCATGTAGCCTGAGAAGCAACACGCCTGCACTCATGTGGGAGACCCAGAAGAAGCTCCTGGCTCCTAGCTTTAGATCGGCTCAGTTCCAGCCCTTGCAGTCACTTGGGGAGTGAACCAGTTGACGGAAGGTCTTTCTCTCCTTCTCTCTGAAAATCTGATCTGCCTTTCCAGTAAAAACAGATAAATCTAAACAACAACAACACTGACATGAAGAAGGAGACTCACTTTCTCTCTTTTTTTAAGATTTATTTATTTTTATTACAAAGTCAGATATACAGAGAGGAAGATCTTCCATCCAATGATTCATTCCCCAGCCTGAGAGACTCACTCTCAAACATGGAGTCAGCTCCATTGCTCTGAGTGATGCATCACCATAGGGATGTATTCTGTTGAGTGAAGACCCATGGCTGTGAAACTGCTGCCAGCACTTGGCCTTTAGGACAGCCCTGGCTGCTCTCCTGATGGGCTTCCACCCATGGATTCCACACGGCCAGCTCTCTCTGAGCAGGGGCCACCTTACTTCTGCGACGCAGGTTTGCATTTGGAAATCGTGAATTACTCTCTCCAGGCTTGACTCTGCCTGCCATGCCATCTCTTACAATTTGCATTCCTTCTGACCCTGACTTGGATTAGGCCAGCTCAATAATGATCAATAATGTTTTCTGTTTTCCTGTCTCCTTCTTAATTCCCACTGCTGCTGCCCATATCAATAATGGGTTATCCCCCCAGCCCTCACTGCTCCCTGCCTATGCCAGCTTGTGACTCCCTCTTCCTCTACTGCTGTCCTTCAAATGCAGTGTGGATCATACCCTGCCCCAAGCTCCAAATCAACCCTAACATTCTTCACACTTACCCTTCTTCATCCTCAATATTCCTTATTTCTCATCATGCTCCAATCGGTCACACTCCAGGAAGGTCCCCATGCCCAGCTTGAGCTTGCTTACCAATGTCCTGTTGGAATGCCTGGTGCATTCCTGTCCCTCATCCTTGACCTTCCCCATAAAAGTTTTTATTGTAATTATGTTTAAATGTTCATGTATTCAGTTTTATTCATTTGAAAGGGAGAATGACATGAACATATAACACAATGCAGAGAGAGAGAGAGAGAGATTCTCAGATTCACTCCCAAAACACCCACAACAGCTGGGGTTAGGCCAGGCGGAAGCCAGGGGCAAGGAGCCAGGAATTCCACTGGGGTCTCTTTGATGTGACAAGGGGAGAGACCTGTCCCCCTACCCTCCAGATGCATTAGCCAGAACCCGGATCAACACTGGACTGCCTGATATGGAATGTGGGCATCCCAAGCACCTGCCTAACTTGCTGTACCCCAACCTGGCCCATTTTTTAAAATCACAATGTAAACTGTGAAGTCTTTTTAAGTTTCATCAAATATATTGCAAGTTACTTGGGAGCAATTACAGTGTTACGATACCGTGTGACCCCAGAGCCCAGGACTATAATTGCTATCTGATGAGTTTTATTTAGGTAACATTGTTAGATGACAGAAAGAATAGAGGCATCTCTTCTTGAATACATAACTGTGTGTACACAAAACCAAATTATTTTGGGAGATCCAAAATCTTAAAATAGCTATGGAGATGTTTCTAAATAGACATATGTTTATTATCACAGGAAACAGCTCCTATTAGATGTTTTTCTCATAACCTTGGCATTCACGGCCTTTAAAAAGGTTTTTCTAACTATTGCTGAAAATATCCTGCTTCAGTTCCAGAAATATTACTTTGCAGAAACTTTAAATCTTTACACCTCTAACTTGGCAGTGAGGATGGCGGTGGCTGGTGTCTGCAAACAACCTGAAGGTGAAGTGAACGTCAGGGGACTGGGTGTGTTGTCCTAAGTAGTGGTTCTTACTAAAGGGACCTCTTCCTACCAACCAAAAGGCACAAGTATAGCTTTTGCTGGAAAGTCCTAGGACTACACGTGGGGAAGATGAGACCAACAGAGCTCCTGGGCAAGCCTAACAGCCCACAGAGAGAGGACAGGCTGAGCGCCGTGTCCCAAATCCAGCATGCCCACATATCAGCAGCAATGCTATTGCTTTAGGGGGACTGATTTCATTTTGGGATAGAGTGTGACATCTGTCAGGAGAGAAAGTAAGGCCTCTTGGAATATCCCTTGTAGACAGTTGGGAAGAGCTGAACTGTAACATCCCCTCGAAGGAGTTTTCTGAAAATCGGCCATGTTCTCTGCAGACAAGGCAAAAGAAGGCTGCTGTTTGCCATGTTTGGCCTCCCTGACTGAGGTTATGAATAAGGCTCTCCTTGACTCAACTTAGGCCAAATCCATCTTTCCTTCAAGTCCTCTGCACCCTGAGGCCTGTTCCACTCTCTGCCTCCCAATGTGTCCTCCTTCCCCTTGACCTCAAAGTTGCGTCTGTACTACAGCACCTGTTGTGTGCTTGGGGCTGGCAGCTGTTGCTGAGTACAAATGTTTCCTTTGTATATGTCTGGGGAGGCCCAGGTGCCATGGGATTAAACCTTTGCTGCTGGTAACCCCGGAAGCAGGGCACTAAGTTGTGACTACTTGAAAATGGAGTGAGACACTGAGAAGACCAGATATGAAATCAGCAGTCCCTGGCATCAGTGACACAGAGGAAGCTGTGCTTCTCCTCCTGCCCTCCCTTCTGCCTGTTCTATTGCATCCCTTCCTGTGGGCTCATTGACCCCTGGAAGGAAATGTTAGTCAAGCATAGGCTGAGATTGACCTGGGCAGACTAGAGGCTGGCTCTAGCACACAAGTTGTCTTCTGGACAGGTCTTCCAAGCCAGAAGTCTCTCAAGCAAGAACACAGATGTTAACTTTGGAGGGAAGGGTGTGCACCACTAGGAAACTGTGGGAGTAGGAAGGGAGGTTTGCAGTGTGGAATATACAGCCAATTCCTTTGCATTTTGCTGGTCACAAAACCCCAATGCCATATAAGAATCAGCACTCTAGAGACCCAGGGGCCCCTCCTCCAGCACAGGTAAGAATATGGAGTAGAGCCAAATTCAGCAGTTCCCTTCTTGGCACTGGCTTAGGTGTGAACACACACAGCATTCTGGCTGACAAGCTGCCTGGGGAAAGGCACTAAAAGACTTCTAGAAAAGGCTTCACCCAATCCTGGAAAGGGCCAAGGAGGTGAAATGTCCTTCCCTTTTTGATGTTGTGGTGTGCAGATGTGAGGCTCGTGTCCCCTGCAGCTGTCTCTGAGTACTGAAGCGAGGTGTCTCAGGACACATCGAGGATGGTCAAGCAGAGGAAAGCAAAGAACCTGTGTCCTTCCAGGCTTCATTGAGCCCTGGGCTCACTCTGGAAATTTTTCTTCTCCAAACTTCATTTACCACACTGCTTCTAAAGAAATTTGTGTGGCCATTTAACAACTCTGGAGTTAGGCTGCATCTTTTTATGGTCATCCTTGGCAGCTTGTGTTCTTTCCTTAATGGAGCCCCAAGTAGCTGGGTGCTTTACAAACAGCTGCCCTGAGATTCCAGGGATGAGCAATGCGTGTTCCGTCTCATCTTAGTAGAGTTTCCATTCCTTTCTCCAGAGGCATCCTAGCAGATGTTCCTGCTGTTTTCCTTACAGGAGCTATGCGCCATGGGAAGTTCTGGAGGAAGGGATGGAGGTCAGGAGAGCCAGACTTGACAAGGACAGCATGGCTCTGAGGACCCACACTGTCCCTTTCCTGGGAATGATTCTGTGCTGGTGTGGATATTAAAGCAGCCAGGTTGTGGGTCCTTGGATGCAATGAATGGTCTCAGGCTTTATGAAATCAGAGTCCAAGTCTATGAAGCTGGACAGAGAGGGAGGGCCACAAGGCAGGGGTAGGAGCAGGTTGGTGGAAACTCGACTCTGGCAGCAAAACCCATCATGGGCTCACAGCACTGCCTCCATTCCTTCCTCCTGCTGGAGGAGGCAGATCAATTCCCTCTTTGCCCTTGGCCAGCCCTCTCACCCCTACCCTTCCTACTTATGCATCCGCTCCCACCTCTTGCTTATTCCAGAAAAACTAAGATACATACTTCCAAGTACTTAGGTGTTTCTCATCATTTTGAGAGTGCTCCCCAACTACATGATTTAAGACACAAGGCCATAATGATAAAACCCTAACTCAGCTGGGGCCACCTAGCTCTAGTGAATGACAGACCTGTAATATACCCACTTTACTCAAGCGGTAAAAGGGAGTTTTTGAATATGTGTTCAAAATTTTTTCAAGAGGTCCTTTCATGAAAGGAATAGAAGCACAACAGGTCCATCTTACCAGCACTGGCCTTTCTTGATTTTGGAGATTATAAGGAGGGACTGTGTGAAAGGCTTGCAGAGCTGGGGTGCAAGACCCTCTGTACCTGCCTCCCCTGCATAGTCCCAAGAGCCAGAGAGACTGCACAGAGGTTCAGGTACTGGTCCTGCCCGCCTCCCACCTGCATCTCTGTCTCTCTGCTTCCTTCAGAGAGCAGTCAGAGAGCAGGCTCTGCTCCAAGCCCTTGGGTGGCCTGACCTCGAGCTAAAGCTTGGGGAGGCAGAAATCACTCACCCATGTAGAAATATTCTGGGGACTGGTCCTCTGCTGATAAATCCTTTATGGTGCCTCCGAATCGAAACCATAGTCCAAACGCAATGACGGCTGAGCCTGCCAGCTGTAAGGCAAAGGATAGAGCATTTGCAATGGAAGGGGACACGTGCATGCAGACCCAAGAGCTGGTCTTGGAATGCCAAGGCCTGTAAGAGTCATCCCTGAAGAAAGCACCTGGAGTAGCCTCCCTATGTTACATAGGAAGAGACTGATGCCTAAGGAGGGGCAGTAATGTGCTTAAAGCACTTGCAGGGCTCCTGTGTGTTACTACAGTTGAGCTTCTTGTTGCCTGGACACCCTGAGGCCATAGGGCATGCACAGCACAGCTGGGAGGATTCCTATAAACTCCGTTCCAGCAGCAGGCTCCCATGGGAGGCGTGGGCCATGAAAGCGCTGCAGCTCCTCCCCAGTCACACAGGGGAAGAGGTGTCTGTGTCTTCACTGCCAGGTCACCAGGAGCAAGTTGAACTCGAAGACCTGGGGGAAACTCGCTGGGCTAAATTGGAGGAACAGATAGCAGCCGTGGGCCCACTCACAGCTCTCAGTGTGCATCCCCAATTAGAAAGCTGTCTTGGAGGTGTCTGTATTCCTGTCTCCCTCCAGTCCATTTGGCCCTTGCTTGCTACCCTTCCTTTCGCCCTACCCCACAATCTCTCCCACCCCAAGGTGGTTTTGTAGGCAGGGAAGGAGTCCTTTCACCTCTCCCCCTTCTTTTTGGTTACTATTTTGAGTTTCCATGGAAAGTGGGAAAGGAAAAAATAATTTTCTGAAAAAGCATGGTCTGTGTGGCTCATGGGCAGGCTGGCGCGGGCAGTGGCTGGGCAGGCTGGCGGCTGGTAGAGTCATCACCGGGCTTCCTCCCCTTCTCCATTCTGAAGGCGTTTGTGTGGCTCAGCACCGGAGATGGAAGCCTTTTTCCATAGCCAAAGGCTGTCCCTTCTGCGTGCCAGCAGGCTCTAGCCCTCCACAAACACCACTCTCAAATTTCACTCTATCAATCCATCAATTGATGTTTACTGGGGTACTGTCTGGACTTCAGGCACCATGGGAAAAGAAGCAGAGATGTAAAAATAGCCTCCCCATGCTGCCAGCACACCCAGCTTCTGCTGGATTGCCTGGGCCTATCAGCAGAGGAGCGAGATAGAGTCCAACCCTGTTCAAAGCAAGAAGAAGGTAGGGGACAGAAACCAGAGAAGGACAAGTGTCATAAGGAAAAGTACCAGAGTTAGGCTGAGAGTACGGGATCCTTGTCCTTTAGGCAGCTGCTTGTGCAGGATTTGCCCAACTCTGTTAGGGAGATCTGGCTGGAGTTACGTGGAGATATTATTTTCTCTGGACACCTCTGTCCCCTGGGGCCAGTGCCCTTTGTGGCTTGCCCAGAGAAGCTGCCTCAACTCAAAGAGCAGGAGGCCAAGGGGCAGAGTCTACCAGCTGGACTCTTCCATGTGGAATAACTAAAAGTTTCCAGCACTTAGCAGAAAGCACTAATTGGATAATGGGAGAGGCAGTGAAAGGAACCACACTCAACAAGCTTATGAAAGACTTATGCATGTTTCGAGAGGGTGGCGTGGCATGGCATGACATAGGAACCTATGGGAAGAAGTCATGTTAAAAGCATTCACAAGAGTGGGATTATAAGCCATTTTTCTTCTCTACATGTTTTCTAGATTTTCTGCATTAAGCATGTATTGCTCATGTAAACTGAAAAAAAAATCCACTGTTCTTCTGAAAGTATCACATGGTTGTTTCTACACTCAACGAGGGAAAAATGGGGAAAACCCCTCTGTGCCACACTTTCACTTAGGTCGGGGATGGGTGTTGGGGACGAACTTTGGGTTCCTTGCTGTCCCTTTCGGGAAAGAAACTGATGCCCTTGGTCAAGGCTACCCAGGAAAGTGTCCCAGGCAGTCCTACAGCCTCATCTCTGTGGCTACTTGGTGGAAAGAGAGTTTCCAAATACAAAGCAAAAAAATCTGTTGACAAAGGCACCAGGCCAAAAGCCAGCAGCCACCGAGCAGACTGTGGAGGAGGTGGCTGGTCCCAGGGATGCCCTACCACGAGGCCACATTTTTGGAATCTCTGAACACAAGCTCTAATTTATAGCTGTCTGGGATCATCCTCCCAGACGGAATACATTTGGCCAGTCCCTGGCACAGATGTGTTTGATGCATAATGGAAAATTAAAAGAGAGGTTGCAATTTAAAGCCATCGGGCAACAGGAAAAAATCTGCGCTTGCTCATCCACACCCCCAACCCCAAACCGCACGGGTTTCCTCCTAGGTCATGGAATTGTGGCTTAGCTGAATGTCATCACTGTGTGAAGGGGAATCCTCCCAGCATGCCACCGCTGGATGTGTGTAGGATACGGTAGGGGAGGACCCAGCCAGCCTCGTGTTGCTGTTGATGGGCAGCAGTGATCACCACTTTGCAAAGAGGCTTTGGTGGAGACCACGCAAGTCTTCATCCTTCTAAACTCACCGCCACTGTAAGGCTGGTGAAATGTGCTATATTCACTAGACTTTGGCTGGTCTACCACATGCCAGGAATTACTTGTTAAATGTCCTCTCCCATTCCAGTTTGGCCAGGAACAAAGAGAGAAGTCGAGTACCACTAAGTTCCTGTCAGGCTCAGTGTCGGCACTAGCAGGAGAGATGGCCTCCCCAGCCCCCCAGCTCTTCCATTCTTATACTTAACAGTACTATGCCCAAAACTCCCCCTGGTCACCCATTTTCTCTTCTTTCAATCTCAGCCACTCTTCTGTATTCAAATCCAACCTTGACCTCTTCCAATGTTAACCCAAGGAAAGAGCAACTGCTCCCTTTACTTCCCTTCTTTCCTTTGCCCCCACCTTAACCTCCTTTTCCTTCCTTCCTGCCTTTCTTTCTTGCATGTTTATCAAGTGTCATCCATGGGCCAAGCTAATGGAAAAGGCATGGCTCACAAACATGTTAGAAGAGCTCTTAAAGTAACTAATGCAGTCTAAGGCATTTGCATGGACTTTTTTTTTTAAGATTTATTTATTTTTGTTGGAAAGGCAGATATACAGAGAGGAGGAGAGACAGAGAGGAAAATCTTCCGTCTGATGATTCACTCCCCAAGTGAGCACAATGGCAGGTGCTGCGCCAATCCAAAGCCAGGAGCCAGAAACTTCCTTCTGGGTCTCCCACATGGGTGCAGGGTCCCAAAGCATTGGGTGGTTCTTGACTGCTTTCCCAGGCCACAAGCAGGGAACTGGATGGGAAGCGGAGCTGCTGGGATTAGAACCAGCGTCCATATGGGATCCCAGAGCATTCAAGGCGAGGACTTTAGCCAGTAGGCCATGCCACCAGGTCCTGCATGGATTTCTTGAAGAATGAATTAGAAGGTATTGAGCAGGGAGGGTTTGGAGAGAGACGAGAAACTCAGGCTGAGATGACAACATGGGGAGTGGCTCTGTTTGCTGACCCTGACACTGTATTGGGGACAAGAGTTCAGTTTGGGAGAGGCCAGAGGCGAATGCTGGATAGGAGAGCTGGAGCAGAGACTCAGGGCTCTGCATAGTCTGCCATCAGCTGCGGAAGCCCACAGCAGGGCTGTATGCAGAGCGGAGATGGCAGCCTTCATTTTAATGAGAAAAGTTATGACTATGAGTGCTGCATGGATGCCAGACACAGCAAAGGCCAGAGACTGAGGGTCAGAGAGAGGACACTGGAGACTAGCTGTGTGGAACCCTGGGAAATCAAGAACCACTAGACCAACTGAAGAACTGTGCTAACAGTTTCTGGCATCAGCACCAATCCCTATGCCTTTGGCAGAAACTTAACCAGAATGTCATCCTTTTTGCAGAAACGGACTTTGTCCTACAACAGAAGAGTTGAACCTCAAAGTCAATCATTTAAAAAAATCGTTGAGGATCTATTATGGGTCAGGAGTCAAGGATTCAGGAATGAGGAAACGCCATGCCTTCTCCTGAGAAGGTTCATGGAGAAACTTTGCACTGGTTGGTCCAGCAGGAGTTCTGTAGATAAGAACCCAACCAACACAGGATGAGCCTAGTAGGGCACACAGAGGGAGATGCCAGATAGCATCAGTTCTTGGGTCATCTTGCCTTTCCTGAAGACCAGCTATGCACAAGGCACCTAGGAAATGTGATGACATAGGTCTCTGAGGTTGCAAACGTGTGTCCACTATTTGAAAAGAGAAGTGTCATCCATTAGGAAATACAGCAAGAATACAGTGAAAGGAACAGGCAATGACAAACAAATCCATGCAAGTAAATAGGGGATCTGCAGGTATGGTTTTATTATGCATTTTCATGGGCATGCTATTCAATAGCTAACCACATTCTATGGTTTTTAGGACACAAAGTGACAAATTATAAGCAAATTTCCACAGAGAAGACAGTTTGTGGTGTTAAATTAGAGATGCAGAACACGGAAAGGAGACTTGATTGAAAGAGAATGGACAGAACATCTTGTTTAAGGAATGGGTATATGCCAAAAACGAGTCCCTTGCTATGAAGCAGAATCTGTTAATGGATTCCAATTCCATTTTTACTGTATCTATTTTCATTTCCCTGGGATTTCTGATGAAATTTCCCATCTTGAAGATGTATTTTTTTCCTCTTAAGTTTTCATGCATCACCAACATGGTCTCCAGAAAGGCATTAGCCCAGGTGCAGGGGTGGAAACGTAAAAAGGTGAAGACCACTCCTCACTCCGGCTGCTCTAGTCTGTTCCACACTCCTCCTGCTCTGGACACTCTCCGACACTGATCATTAAGGCAAGTCCATTCTCCTCTGCCACCTGCTGTCTAAGCCCAGCAGATACCCTGTTTTTGGGTGCCAAGTGTCACTTAGAAAAGTTCTAGATAGCACATGTGCCTATACCTAGGAGGGAGTGACAGGCTGGAGGGGAGACACATAAGCCACTAGGCCCATTCCTGCTCCCACAAGGAGGCCTCTGGCTGGCTAGCTCCTTGGCTTAAACAAGACACTGCCAGCTGTTTCCCACTCACAGCTTAGTTCTAAAGCCACTTCCTCAGGGAAGCCTATTCTGGCCTAGATATGTGCCTTCCTTTGTAGTT